ACCAACCAGAATAGCCATTATTAAAAAAACAAAAAACAGACGCTGGGGCAGATGTGGAGAAAGTGGAACATACACACTGTTGGTGGGAGTGTAAATTAGCACAACCTCTAAGGAAAGCAGTATGGAGGTTACTCAAAGAACTAAAAGGAGATTTACCATTTGATCCAGCAATCCCACTACTAAGTATCTACCCTAAGGAACACAGGTCATTATATAACAAAGACACCTACACCCACATGTTCATCACAGCACAGTTCACAACTATGAATATGTGGAATCAACCTGAATGCCCATCAACTGGCCAGTGGATGATGGAAATGTAGTATATATACACCATGGAATACTATGCAGTCATAAAAAAGAATGAAATCATATTTTTTGCAGCAACATGAATGGAGCTGGAAATCATCATCCTAAGCAAACTGACTCAGAAACAGAAAATCAAATACCAAATGTCCTCATTCATATGTGGGAGCTAAATAAATGGTCAGAAAGATGGAAATAATAGACACGGGGACAATAATAAGGGGAAGGGTTCAGAAACTAACTACGGGGTACCAAAAAAAGCCACCAACTCATAATCCTCACAATTCTACTATACACATTATTAATGGACGTAATTAATATCCTCAGTGCAATAGGCGTATTTTTTTTCCAGATAAGGAAATCCAGGGACAATTGTGGTCAAATATCTTGCCTAAGGTTATAGGTGCAGTCAAGAGGCAGAGCTGCCAAGACTGTAAATTAGTACAACCTCTATGGAGAGCAGTATGGAGATTACTCAAAGAACTAAAAGTAGATGTACCTACAGATTACCTGGCTCGTTGGTCCAGGCTCTTACTTGTACTTTGCTGTCACTCATTGTAAGTACGTTGGCGTCTCGCCCTGTCGCCCAGACCGGAGTGCAGTGGCATGCTCACGGCACGCCGGAGACTTTTATACTAACCTCACTCTATCTTTTAATTTTTTTAATCTTATTTTTCCTACTATTAATTTTTCTTCAACCCCCCTCCCTTAACTATTAAAAGGAAAGCAACGAAGCATCTGGTGTGTGTCTGGCTTCGGCAGGTCGCTTCAATTCGCGTTGGAGACAAGTAGACTTGTCCCCACGGCACTTTATATACGCTGCTCAATAAGTGTGGGATAACCCTTGAGGACAGCGCCCGGCACCTTGGAGGGACTTAAGTCCTCGAGGTTTTGGTGACACAAGACACCTGTAAACGCCACGTTTCCAAATAGCATATGGGCAAGGGCATGCAGGGTGGAACGGCGTCGGCTCTCGTGGGCCTGACGTTCGGGAGAACTAGCTCGGCTGGGGAGAGCGGGAGCGAGGGCGGAGAGGTTGCCGGGTCTGGGCCGGGGTGGAGAAGACGCGGGGCCGGGCGGAGGCCTGGGTGGGAGGGACGCGGGACTTGGGCGGGGGACCAGCGCAGGGAAGCCTCTGCTCTGCGCCGGGAGACGGTGGGGCCTGCTGGATGCCAGCGGACCGTCCCCATGGGCGCCCTTCCCAAAAGCTGCTGGCAGGAAGAGGACCCGGGAAGTACGGCCTCCCCGCCACACACACACACACACACACACACGCACGCACGCACGCAC